GGGGGGGACTAACTGTATGCGTGTGTATGCAGATTCTGGGTGCCAGCTGTGTTCAAAGAGACTAGGTTTTGGGGACCAATATTTATATCTGAAATCCTAGCCTTAAGGGTTGTGCTATCTTGTAAGGTAACAAAGACATTATGTTCTTCTCAGGAACCAGCAATGGGATTCTGGATTAGTTGATGGCTTTAACGCTAGGGTTACAAAAATGGTGACTGGATGAGGACAAGCCCAGGTTGAAAGGATAGGAAAGTTGGCTGGGAGCACAGCAGGGGGTAGGGAGAAAGTGCTGGCTTCCTCCTTTGGTGCAATGAGACCTCCTTTGTCTCTCGGTGGAAGAGGAAATACAAAAGGGCCTGGGGTGAGAAGTATTCTGTACACCCATTTCGCTTTGGTCTGCACTCCTAATGGGAAACCCACCTGGTGTTCCAAAAGTCACCATGACCTCTTAAGAACATGCTGGCTCCCAATATGAAAACATGGAGACCCCAAATATAATGCAGGGTATGCAGTGTGTACTAACAGACCATATGGCTTCAAAAGTTCCATTGACCATTGTCACTGCTTCACAGAAGTTAGTATGTTTCTATCTATATCAAATTACATATGAAGGCTCTGTTACAGACTACTCTGGGATAAATGAATTATCCACAAACCATTTAGTGAACCAAATAAATATCTCCTATTTGCTTATTTCAGTATTCCACTTTTGCAGAAGTCAATTTTTAGCAAGACCCACTTCTGGGTATACAGGAATAGGGTTGTTCTTTTGAAACATGCCCAAGAACAAATTTTAGGACCTGATAAGTCCTAAATTAGAAAACTAGACTAGATAACTATGGCCTTTGCAGACTGCCAGAAATAGTCCACTTTAACTGCCCTGGCTTAGTGCTAGGGAATCATGGGAACTGTAGTTTTTTCTGAGACATTGAGCCTTCTATGTCAGAGAGCTCTGGTAACACAATAAACTACAATTCCCATGATTACTTAACACTGATCCAGGGCAGTTAAAGTGGACTCAAGCAGCATTATTTCTGGCAGTCTGCAAAGGCCCTAAATAAGAGTGCTAAATATGAGTGTCAAGTGACTAATAAACAGGGCTTGGAACTGAGGGACAGTGTTCAGAATCCAAATATTTCAGAAATGCAAATAACATATTCCCAAGGTATCTATAACAATGCATGAATCAGATAATTCTGGTAGCAACTGCAAATATATAATCTATATAGTACATCGAGCAGATTTACAGAGGGTTAGGAACATCACAGGGTACTTGATGCCAAATCAGCTTCTTTGTCCAGCTGGCTTAGTATTGCCAACTTTGACTGCTCACAGCAAGCCAGGATCTCATCACCTGCTCTCAACCCCTTTTCACTGGATATGACAAGGACCAAATCTGGGATGTCCTCCTCTCACTTTTGCAGGACATCACTGGCCTATAGTTCTGTATCACTGATTCCCTCTTTTATTACAGGGCAATATACGACTTTCAGCAAATTTATCTCTAGGAAATTTAGTACCTGCTATTTTAAAGGAGATCTGATTCCACTTCAGCAGTATCTCAGCACTTTGCTGTGACACCTGGCAAATGCATTGAATATCTACCTCAGCAAAAGAAGAGTCAGATAATTTAAAAAAAAACTCCAATTACTTCCAGCTGGCTGAAGGTCAAATGCTAGTAGCATTGTGTTTTTAGCTATAATTATAATGATGTGTAGTAACTAAGGGAAAGACACAAAGAAAACAAATATAGTGTGAAAATGGATTTAATGGATTTATAATGGATGACTAGCATTGGGCCTTTACAGACTGCCAGAAATAAGGCAGCTTGAGTCCACTTTAATTGCCCTGGTTGAATGCTAGGGAATTCTGGGAACTGTAGTTTTGTGGGACATTTAGCCTTCTCTGTCAGAGAGCTCTGGGGCCACAATAAACTACAGTTCCCATGATTCCATAGCACTGAGCCAGGGCAATTAAAGTGGTCTTAAACTGGATTATTTCTGCAGGGTGCTTTGGACCTATGAGAGCCAGCATTGTGTAGTAGTTTGAATGTTGGACTAAGATACTGGGAGACCGGGGTCTGAATCCTTGCTTGGTCATGAAAACATCCTGGGTGACTTTAGCCAAATCACACTTCCTCAGCCTTAGAGGAAGGCAAAGGTAAACCCACTCTGAACAAATTCTACAAAGAAAATCCCATGATCAAGTTAACTTTAGGGTCATCATAACTCAGAAATGACTTGAAAACACACAACACCATCAACATCATTGACTACTGCAGTGAAAAGTTTATTCTGACTTTACTGTTTTTTTAAAACAGGATTGAGGACATTGTTACTACATCTATCAAAGGTACTGCCTAGTGTATCAGTTTCCCAAGGAAAAGCCCATATGGCAGATAATGGAACTTTTCTGTGTCACATGGGACGTTATCACAAGG